ATCTTATCAACATCGACTGTGAGGCCAGATTAGAACATTTCTCCCCCTCCTCCTCCTCCCTACTGCACAAATGTAGCTATTTCAACCCACATACTCACACACTCCCTCTCAATCACCCACACACTTCTACTATAACACACCATACCCCGCCACACATCCCTCATCCCTCTCCTCCCTCAAAAGCCCACCTCAATCTTCCCCAAAACTCTCATCACCCGGCACCGGCACCGGCACCGGCACCGACATCCCTCTTCTTAAACAGCCCATGCACAACCCCACACAGACTCCCCCACAGCACCTGATCGCGTCCGCGCACCCACTCGACTGAAATCTCCCTTGCCAAGACCAGCAGTCTGATGCGGAATACAATCGCAACTGGCCTATTCATGTCTGGATCTGCACCGCCGTGGCCATTACCATCTGCACCGCCGCCCCCAACCCCCCTCATCCTCCGCTCAAAAGCCCGTCTATACCCCCTACTCCACACATTCCCTGCGGCCTCGCCCAGACCCGTCGATGATGTGGGGTCCCACGACCAGCGGAGATCGAGGGCGGAGAAGTGTGTTTGCAGGGTGCTGAGGGCGGTTTCTGAGGTGGAGGTTGGGGGTAGGGGGATGGTGTATGTGGTGGGGAAAGGGAGGTGTGAGTTTGGGAGGGAGGGGGGGCGGGATATACTCTGTTTTTCGGGGGACAGAGTGTTAGTTTGAGATGAAGGATGGTGAGGTTTGGGTTTGGGTTTGTGTTTCAGTTGTGGTGGTTTTTTGAGGCGGGATTGGGGTTGGGGGATATTGTTATGGCAAAGGCAAAGCTGAGCTGAATACTTACATTCTTCGGTCTCCAGTCGCCAAAACTCCATGCCACGACCCAGCGCTTCGTGCTCGCTCCTGTATCGATGACGCCAACAGCCCAGTTCGCGATACCGCGTTGTTTGAGCAGCGTGATGACGGCTTTTGCGCTTTCCAGCTTGCCCAGCATACTGCTGTACCAACTCACCTTTTCGCGGAGGACCAGACTCTCTTCCACAAGTCTCGTCACAAACCCCAGATCGCCGCCGGGACACACCATTTCGATGGGAGCGCCGGTGCACACGGCGTTTGGTTTCCAGCTCTTGCCCTCGCCTGTGAGGGAGTTGTGCATTTCAGACTCGCTGGTGAAGAAGGGGGGGTTGCAGATTGTGAAGTCGAGGGTGGACTTGCCGAGGGCTTGGAGCGGGATGAGTGGTTGGGAAGATGTGGTTTGGAGAAGGGTGGTGCGTGTCATGAGGCTGTTGAGAGCGAGGTTGCGGGCCGCAGAGGTGAAGGATGCTTTGTCGACGTCGGTGGCGCACATGTCCCAGTTGGGCCTGCTCTTTAGACACAGCATGGTGTAGATTGCGCTTGCGCCTGTGCCAATGTCTAACCCTACGACTTTGCGCTCGGGTTCATACTTGTTGGAGTACGAAGGCGAAGTGGAGTCGATGAGGCCTTGGATCCAGGATACATAGTTCCAGCGGTTGGGAATGGGCGGGCACAGGCGATCATTGGGGACATCTAGTTCGAGGCCAAATTCGGTTGTGAGAATAGCTTTTGAGAGTTTCCGTGTGGTGTCTGGATCTTGAAAGTCGAGCTTGCCCGATTTGGACTGCCATAGTTGCTTGAATTCTGGGTTTACTTTGGCGAGAGCTTTGAAGTCCACGGTGTGGTATGGCGGGCGCTGAGCCAGATCCATGATATGCCTACGCTATTGAGGGAGTTGAATGATCGTTGGCCGTGATCAGGAGATGTAAGGAACTGTTGATTGCAGTGAGGAGGTTTGAGGTCGTGTGTGAAAGTAGGGCCAACGCTTGGACCACCTCGTGGTGATTGGCGGAGGAGCAAGCCTGAAGGGAGGAGCAAACAGGACAGGGTGAAGGGAGTCCAACATGTACATGTGCAATTGATATACAGAGAACTAGATGAAAAAAGATACCAAAGACAACTCCCTCTGGCCCGCCTAGATGCGACGACATGTGTTCCCACGCCACAATGCAAAGTCTGGAATTCTCTAGATCAGAAACGGGCCATCATATGCGCCGTCTGGTTCCTGTAGCCGAACCAATTCCAGAGAAGGCACCAGGTTGGGCTTGTAGAAGCCGAGCAGCATCTCCATGTCTTCTTCTGTCAATGCACACAAGTCGTTGAGGGTGTACTGTTCGCAGACTTTGGACATCCTATCAAGGGGGATCAGAAGACGTGCACGTGCTGGGTAAGTGGAGTGATGACCTACCATTGCATGCGCTTTGGGCCTTCCTCGATCAAGGGGGCCACCTTGCGCAGCTTCTTTCGTAACATGCCCACTCTTTGCACAGCTGCGCCTATGTTATAGGGCAGACCAGCGGCAATCTGCCTCCTCACAATGTTGGCCAGCTTCGGCCCATTCCCATTGGTGCTGACCATGATCTGTAGGGGCCCATCACGGTGGACACTGCCGAAATAAAAGTCGCACTCTGGCGGGACATCTGCAATGTTGGCGGCTATTCGTCGTTCCCTGCACAATTTGTATATTTGCGACGAGGCTTCCGGGTCGTCGACTGCGGTCAAGACCATGTCGACGCCGTCGAGGTCGGATGGCTCGAACTTGCGGTCGACATAGTCTATTTGTTTTTGTTCGATGCGATAGGCGACTTCCTCGTTGAGGCCTTCGCGCGGGGAGACGAGGGTGATTTTGGCGTCGGCGTTGAGGACATTCACGATGCGACCGGCGGCGACCTAGGACGCTTGTCAATGGTCAATACTCTGGCGAAGATGGGAGATGGGCGCGAGAGGCGCGAACTCACTTCTCCGCCGCCGACGACCAAGACGCGTTTGTTCCTGATCTGCCATGCGAGGATCAGCGAACCTCCTCCCTGGATCTCCGGGTATGGACTCTTTGGCGCGGCCATGGTGGTGAAGAAGTCCAGAAGAGAGGAAAGAAAGATGGCGCGGCGATGGCGCCATTCAGTGCCTCCTGCGGTTCGGCGTCATGCCAAGCCAGCGCGGGCGGGGAGAGAAAGGCGACGGGGGGCGTTGGCGTTCCAGCTTGATTGCTATCGATACAGTGGCCGATTCACCGATGGGCAGGGACATGGGGGATGTTGTGAGCGTACAAGGGAAAGGCGTGCGGCGTGGTAGAGATGGGTAGATGGGTAGATGGGTAGATGGGTAGATGGAGTGTGGGTATTGTATGCTTGTACAGTAAGTAGTAGAGAGTAGTAGTGGTAGTGGTAGAGTTGGACCCCATCATGGAACACACCGGTAGTTTCTTTTCTCCACATACCTAGGTATCTGCAGCAACCAGGACTAGATCTGTAGGTAGTAGAGTACTGAGTCGTCTGCTTACTCTAGCTAGCTATTCTAGTACTATACCCAAGGTATGGTAGGTAGAGTAGGTAGCTGACACGACAGACATGTTCCTGTGTTCCAGAATGCGAAGACAAGAAGAAGCCGGCAGCACGCTTACCACTTGGGTCCCCTTAGCATTCTGCCCAGGCACAGGACTTGCTACACACCCTAGAGTATACGGTACATACATGGCTAGTCTCATAGAGGAACGAGAGCACCCTCCACTTCCCCCATAGCCTGCAGATCCCGGGCTGCCCTGGCCTGCCCATGATTGTCCACCACTTCCCTCTCCACAACCCTCCAACATGGCCGCCTCCTCCCGCAGGTCCCTGGGCGGCGGACGCGTGCTGGGGAGCGGGAGGAACCTGTCGCCCTCGCTGGCTTCACAGCACCACCAGCAACCTCACCTCGGCCCCCACCGCCGCAACCCTAGCCTGTTGTCGCCCTCGGAAAGCTCGCTGTCGCTGAGCTCGCAGACGTCCAACAGCCCGGCCAGCACTGCCGCCGACACGCGTGGAGAAGACATTGGCAGCAAGGTACTGCTGGGCCCAACCGACCATGCCGCCGCCGCCGCCGCTGCTGCTGCTGCCAGTGCCTCGAGTCGGCTGGCTTGTCCCATATGCAATGAGGAAATGGTACGTCAACTTGTGGCCCCTTTGCGCCTGCCTTGCTATCTTCTGCTTTGTACCTTCCTACCTCTGCTTCGTGCCTTCCTACCTCTGCTTTGTACCTTCCTACCTCTGCTTCGTGCCTTCCTACCTCTGCTTTGTACCTTCCTACCTCTGCTTCGTGCCTTCCTACCTCTGCTTCGTGCCTTCCCTCTGCTTCATACCTTTCCAGACAACATGACATGTACTCACATACCAGGTCACCCTCCTGCAACTGAACAGGTACTTGCCACCGCCGTAAACATCTCTACCCCCCCATGCTGGCCCTAATCTATACCAGACACCTCGACGACAACCACCAGAACCTCGTCGTGGAGGAGCAGGATGAAGTCAAGAACTGGTTCGAAGAGCAAATGCACAAGGCCAAGAAGTTCCAGCCGCTGGCAGTCCTCAACCAGAAACTCAAGGGCCTCGACGTATTCGAGTCCAATGACGCTCCCACGCCCCCACCGCCAATAGCTCACTCCGCCACCGGCTCGGCCACACACATCGCACGCGAACCTACCCCCGTCCGCAGAGACCCGGAGGAGGAAGTTACGCGCGCACATTGGCAGCGGCCGACGTATCGAGACACTTGCTCAGACCCAGTATGCAGACGGCCCATTACAGGTTCACAGATAGCCTTGGGCGGAGGCCAGCAGGCGGTGAACTGCAGGCAATGTGGCCGCCTTTTCTGCGAGGACCACACCATGTATCAGATGAAGCTGTCGCGCCAAGCAAAACATGACCCTGTCCGAGGCATCTGGTGTAGAGTCTGCGAGACATGCTACAAGTCCAGGGACGGCTACCTCGACCACCGCGGGACAGAGCGCGATCGTTTTGAAGAGTTTGCCCGGATTCGGCGGAAAAAGGTCGACAGAGAACGCATGGAGGTCACCAGGCTGGAGAAGAGACTGACCAAGCTCACACAGCTCCTGGCGAATCCACCACCATGGGAAGAGGTCCCCACTACAGGCAGCTGGTTCTCCCTGGCTGGGGCCAAAAATCAGCGAAAAGCATTGGAGCAATCCATCATCATCTGGGAAGAAGATGCAAAGGTCTCCAACTGCCCCTTTTGCCAGCAGGAGTTTTCCACCTACACCTTCAGGAGACATCATTGCCGCATGTGCGGCCGTGTCGTTTGCGGCGATCCCAAGACCGAGTGTTCAACAGAGATTGGGTTGAATGTGGCTGCAGGTACAAACACGGTCGTTCTGCTCCTGTTTCCGCGCTAATCTCGACAGACTCCAGCAAGTCCGAAAAAGGGGTCGAACAAGTGAGTGTCGACGTGCGCATGTGCAAGGATTGCCAGCACACCCTCTTCTCCCGGAGCGATTTTGAGCGTGAAATGGCAGAAAAGCCAAAAGACCAGCGCTCGTATGAAAATCTGGCGCAATTCGAGAGAGGCATCCGCTTGCTTCTACCTCGGTTTCACAAGCTTTTGCAAGCTCTCCAAGATCCAGACAAGTCACCAACACCACAACAACTAACCGATGCCACCAAAGTACGAAAGAGGCTCATGGATGCGTTTGCACAGTTTGACGCAGTCGCAAAACGAATACGGGACCTCCCTACCGACTCGCCAACCCAGCAAAAGCTACAAAAGGCTGTTTACCAACAAGCCTACAGCTTCCTGAGCTTACACATGTTGCCCCTGCGATCCCTTCCCAAGATTCTCAAACATGCTGCACCACAAGGCCGACCCAATACCGGCGGTGCGCTTGCAAATATAAAATACAACGACAAGACGGCTAGCAGCGTCGTCAGTAGTAGCGAGGTATCCGCCATGGAAACGGAGGAGAAGGAGCTACGGGAGCGACTCATCATTCTCGAGGAACAGAAGTTCATGGTGTCAGAGATGGTGGCGAATGCAACCAAGCATCGGCGCTTCGATGAAGTATCCAGTCTAACGCAGAATCTGGACGATTTGAGCAGGGAGATTGACCAGGTTAATGGGCAGCTGGGTCAATTGGACTTTGCGGGCGTTTATCAAGCGGGCGCTGGCTAGCCTATAGTTTGGTTAACAGCGGGGGGGTTTTTGAAAGGAGTAATGAATACGGACATTTGAAAGTGTCATCGTCATCGCTGGCGTCATCACCATGAAAATATCTGCTCGACTACTATCGTATAATGCCATACACAGAATGGAAGTCGTGATACTATCCAACAACTAGTCAAAATGGTGGGAAGGGAGGGTCTGCAGGTGATCTGACCATGTAGCCAAGGTGGCCCAATTAACGCCAGCATTCGAATAGATGCATGAAAAGTTCTGGCTAGATTGCTACCAAGAAACTGCGGAATTCAACAATCAAATTCCTTTCATTCCAGCTGCGTCCTGTTGAAGAGATGGATGATGTGGTACTTGGCCACGGCACAGCCCGCCCCACTCTTACCCGTCCACGCACCCCGCACGACCTGATTGTTACAATCGACAACCCATGATCCTTCCACGGCCTCGGTCCTCCCGCAACGTTATTCTTCTGAAAGTGTTCTGGTCAACTTGGCAGTACTGTTCTTCGCTCGGGGTTGGTGGCACCTACCAGGACTGATTCACGCTACGATTGTACTGGTACAACCTTCCATGACTGGCTGAGCAGTGTGGGATACATGTCACTCATTTATCGTACCCTGTGCAGGCAGATATAAGATAGCGTTCCGGGGAAATTCAGGTCGAGATTACGCGGCTCTCTTGTCGTTCTTCTATCACCACTACCAGCATCTTCTCTTTGGTCGCCATCAACGTACAAGAAGACCACCATGTGTCGTTGGTTCGCATACATTTCTCCCCAAGAACCATGTCTTCTCTCCGATGTCCTCATCACACCGGCGAATAGCATCAGCAAACAATGCTCCGAGCATTATCTGCCTAAACTGCTACCCCATGATAAAGACAAGGATCTGGACCACAGCTCAGATGAACTGCTTCGGATGCGAAACTCGCTTTTGAACATGGATGGGTTGGGTGTTGCTTGTACGAATTGAACCCCTATTATCCCTCACAAGAATCAACACTGACAAAAACAACAGGGTACACCAACGCCGCATCATCCTACCTCAAACACACCACCGGCCCTCGCCCTTCGCTCTATAAATCCCAATCTCCGCCCATCAACGACTTCAACTTCACTTCGCTTTGCTCAAACACGGAATCTCACTGCGTGTTCGCCCACATCCGGGCCAGCAGCGGCACCGCAGTCACCCCAGTAAACTCGCACCCCTTTGCCTTTGGCCGCCACACCTTCATGCACAACGGCGTCATCTCCAACTTCTCCTCGATCCGGCGCGAGCTCACCGACCTCCTCTCCTTCCCCACCTACTGCCACATCCTCGGCTCCACCGACTCTGAACACGCCGCAGCCCTGTACATGACCAACCTAACCTCGCACTCAGACGACCCAGAAGCCTGGTCCAAACCCTACCCTCTTACCACCATGTTCACCGCCCTCCGCACCACCGTCCTCCAAATCCTCACCCTCCAACACAAAACCCTCGGCCCAGCCAACACCCCCTCCTCACTCAACTTCTGCGCCACAGACGGCATCCAGCTCATCGCCCTGCGCTTCCGCAACCACGCCAGCCAACAGCCGCCCTCGCTCTACTGGTCCGAATCCGCGGGCCGCACGCTAAACACCAAATTCCCGGGCCACCCGGACGGCGCGCATGTGCGGAATGAAGAGGCCGTCATGGGCGCGGAGGAGAAGATGGGAAGGCATACGATTGTGGCGTCGGAGCCGACGACGTATGAGGAGAAGGAGTGGCATTTGATTGGGAGGAATTGTGCGTTGTTGGTTGATGAGGGGGGTGGGGAGGTGGAGGTCAAGGTTGAGTATGGGGCTGAGTTGGATGCGCGGGATCCGAAGTTTGATGGGTTGTGGTAGGGCATGACTGTATGCCTAAACGTATAGA